CATAGCCAACCATTCTGGAATCAGAATTGACTTTGTTGCAGAGACTCAGTCGTTGTCACAAGAAGAAGCGAAAGAAAATTATGATGTTCGCCAAATACCAACGTCCATCATCCACCCTTGAATTACAGAAGAACTGTTCTAAAAAACTCTGTAAAACCCGGATGGGTGGAACCTGATCTAAACTATATTTTATGATTGGATAAATTAAATGTTTTACCAATGTAAAGTATTTAATATTAACCAATCATGATCCATCTAACTAACAACCCACTTATTTGTAAGTGCTGAAGTTACTTGTAATTTCAGCACCAGAGAGATTTGAATTTAACTTAGAAATTAGTTGGACTCTCCCGAGCACTTCAGCAGCCGCAATAAACCAGTATACCCTAGATCTATTGAGCCTAGCAGAGACTAGTTAAACAACCTGAGACTAGATAGTATAAGAGTAAGATTAGGATCGGTATTAGACTAAGAAGTTGCACGAATCTATCCGGCCGAAAATAAGATAGCGTGACGAGCAGACGGTGTACCCTATCCGAAATTACTCTATGAGTTACACTTCGGTCCTAACTCAACAATCTAGAAAACTTGCTCCTGATCTTTTTTGAACCCTGGTCAAGGTTCGAATTTCATGGCCGGAGTAATTTTGTTTTCATATCGGATGCATAGGATTATCCAAAAAATAGTTTAAGAAGTTTTCTTGGACAATTGAACATATTACTGCTCTAATTAAATTGGGTTGAGGAGCAATACCTGTTGACTGCCAACCGATTTAAACTTATTTTTTCTTACTTTCCTTCAAAACTATTTAAAAAACTCTACATAAAATAAGCAAATGAATAAATTCAGGCACCAACAATTTACTTTTGGAGTTTTTCGTTCAGCCGTTCGCACGGAAGGTACTTGGTGTGGGGTTTTTGATCTGGCGAAATTGGCGCGGGCGTTGTTTGTATGAAGGGTGCTCCACCGACAAATTTTATTAAAGGCGATCATCTTCGCTGCGTAAGATATCGACAGTCTGGTTGAAAAAATGGTACTTAGTTTATCAAGAAGAAATACCAAAACTCGTCAAGTAGCTTGCCCGATACAAGTTACTTAAAACCGTACTTAAAAACGTATTGAGTTAGGTACTAGTGACTGTACTCATAGAGTAATTTCAGATAAGGTACACCGTCTGCTCGTCACGCTATCTTATTTTCGGCCGGATAGATTCGTGCAACTTCTTAGTCTAATACCAATCTTAATCTTACTCTTATATCTCCTAGTCTCAATAGATCTAGTGTATACTGGTTTATGCGAGTTAGTTTCCAGAAGGAAAACAACTTTACTCTAAGTTCAGTTCAAATTGCTCTGCTGCTGAAACTACAAGTAGTTTCAGCACTTACAATTAAGTGTAAATGTTAGTTATGGAATATGATGTTGTTAGAAGTTTAGCAAGGAAGCTGGTGATATATTAGGTTTGCAGTAGTGGCAGAAGCATTTTAAGTGCTGTGATGATCTTGTTTTCTTCACTACTTGGTGAGAATTCATGCTGTGTGTTTTGACTTGGAATAAAAACGGAATGACAGTGTTCAAAGACTTTTTGAAGTGGTACAAAAAAAAGGATGTAGTTCCAACCCTGGAAGCAATGCAAAAAATGATTCAGTTTTATCATAACAAGGGGAGAGATAAGTTGAAACTTGGATGTACTCTTCCAAATCTAGCAAACATAAGTCTACACAAATCTATAAATTATAAGTCTTATCCATTTTGCGAAAATGATAAAGACTTGTGTGAAAAAGTTAGAGAGGACATGACTGGTGGACCTTCCATTGTTTTCACTCGAAAAGCTGTAGTTGATGAAACATACATCAGAAAATCATCGAATGTTTGTAAACCAATCGTTGGAATTGATGCAAGCCAGCTTTACCCTTACTCAATGTGTCAAGATATGCCAACAGGACTGTAAAGGAGATTGGAGTTTGACACCAATTTGCAGAAGTTTAAAGCTAGACACAATCGAACTCGCAATTTTGAGAATATGGTCATGTCTTTCTATCAAGAAACAAGACCAGAATGTAAAATTGAGAGCTTTTTTTCACATCTGGAAAAAAGAAAAAAATCGACTGTTTTAACGTGGACGATTATTGTGATCACTGTCAGACAGTGTTTGAAGCAATGGGATGTTACTACCACTTCTATTCTTGCTGAGAAGCTCGCCCCATCTTAACGGATCAGGATATTCAGCGAGGAAACAAGAAGAGAGGGATGGATGACATGAGACAAAAATACATAAAAGAGAAAGGATACAAAGTTGAAGAAATGTTGGAGTGTAAGTGATGGAAAAGTTTCAAAACCAATAACAAGATCAAAAATCACGTCAGAACCCACTTTCCCTACAAAAGACCTCTCTCTACAGACTCACTACTAGCAAAAAAAGATGAATCTCTTTTTGTCTATGTTCAGTGCGATTTAATTGTTTCAGTGGAACTAAAATCAAAGTTTGCAAATTTTCCTCCAATTTTCAAAAATACCGAGGTTGGAAGAAATTGTAGTGGAGATTATATGAAGAACTATGCAATCGAGAACGAAATGTTAAAACATCCTCAGAGAATGCTGATATCTAGTTTCAAGCTATAAAATGAACAGCTATAACTCCTTTGTTCAACTTTTACTTGGAACTTGGCTTGCAGTGAACCAAAACTTACCGTTTTTTTTTCAATATTCTTCTCGGAAATGTTTCAAAAGTTGTGTACAATCAGTGGTTGATGCATCAAGAGAAGGAGATGAAAACCTTTTGTCAGGCGTTTTAGCAGAAACTATGAAGCTTTTAGGCAATTCCTCGTATGGATATCAGATCATGGATAGATCTAGACAAACAATCACAAAATATCTGAACGATGAAAAAACTCAAAAAGCAAAAAATGAGCCGTTGTTCCAAAGTTTAAAAACAGTTGAAAGAGACTTGTATGAGGTGGAGTTGTTGAAATCAACCATTGAAGACCGAGAACCCATCAATGTTGGATTCTTCATACTGCAGTATGCAAAACTGAGAATGCTGGATTTCCACTATAATTTGTTTGACAAGTTCTGTGATGTAAACTAATTTGAAGAGTTGGAGATGCATACAAACTCGCTTTACTTAGCTCTTGCGAAAGAGAATTTATATATTGTATCCAACCAGTTAGAGAGAGCTGGTTGGGAAAAAACGAAGGAAAATGACTGCAGAGACTCTTTCAAGGCGGATGCAAAATCTAATTTTATCCCCTGAATGAGTTGCAGTTTGCAAAAACAGCATGATAAGCGAAAACCGGGACCTTTCGAAGAGAAACTTAGGTGCACAGAAATGCTATGTTTATGTAGCTAAATTTGTTGCTGTTATTATAACAAAACAGATAAATTCAAGTTTAGCAGCAAAGGATTAAACAAGTGAGTTCTCGAAGTTTCTGGAGATGAACCAATGTCAACGTGTAGGAGAGTGCTCGATGAAGCAATCAACATAACATCCAGAAATAGAGCATTCAGAACTATAAATCATATGGGAGCCACATATGAGCAATCAAAGAAAAGACTTAGTTATTTTTATCCAAAAAGACAAGTCCAAGATGATGGAATTCATACAAAACCATTGAACTTAAAAAAACTGATGCGTTGTAATGAGTTCATAACAAGTGATGCAATGTATTACATTTTGTAACAAGTTTTTTGTTGGTATTTTATTACAAAGTTGCGGTAAATTTCAAATAATATGCAGTGATTTATATACTTTCTTTGCAATTTAAATTTTTTTCTCAAAAATTTGATTTTTTTCGAAGTTTCAGTAGGTTTCAGAACATATTCAGATACATAGAAAGTAAAAGTATCAAATAAATTGTTATTAGATCAAACTATAACAAATCTTATTGGGTTTTGAAGTTTTTTTGAAAAATTTTCAGCTTTTTTGATAAAAATTCCCAAAAACTCTTACCATTGACTTACCATGTACCAGAAATCTTATTAGCAGACCTTCAATCCACAAGCTCCCAATTAGATAACGCGCGCCAAAATTTTTGCGAAAAATAAGACACTTCATTTAGTTTTTCTTTCTCTTACCATTACTCTGAAACCTTACCATTGGTATTCCCTATCTTAATACCTTGTAGACTCTATTCCCTATTTTAAAACATAGCATGGCAGACCGGAAATCTAGTTTCGGAACATTCAGAATTTCGCCCTGATTCGAGCAGTCCTGTTCTTTATTGAGATCAACCATAAAATTCCCCTCCCCAAATCTACATATTTAGGGGAAAAAACGTGAATTTTTTATATGCTAAATTTATGTATATCCTAGATTCGTTCAAAACTAACCGTTTTACTAAAAATAACTGAATTGAAACGTTAACTTGTGTAATTAACAGCATACAGGTAATGCAATCCCGCAGAAAAATCCATTACGTTCTCTAATTTTGCCATAATAATCAATTATATAGACAACAGTTTGGTCGATCACCTTGCAGTATTTAGACAACCACGTATTCATACTCGTCAGTAAGCAGATAAACGTTTTATTAAGCAATCAGAATCGAGACAAGGAAGAAATTGATCATTAAAAGTTATTTATTTTGTAAATTTGCTTTCTTATCTCAATTCTGATTGGGTAATATTGCATTTGTCTGCTTACTGACGAGTATGAATACGCGGTTGTTTAAACACAGACAACTCCACTTTAGTCAACAAAAATCCATGATAATTAATTTTTATCAAAACAAGCAAGCTCGTTTTGATTATGATATGCTTCAAGTTCAAAATTCAAGCTTAAAATAAAAATAAAACGCGTTCTAACTCAACCATTTTTCATTACAATAATTTGTGCCCATTGTTATTTATACGTCATTTTTTACGATCGCTTTCGTGCTTAGTTAGAGCATTGAAGCGCAGAGAAAAACATAAAAGTTGAGCTAAAGTTAACTAAAGAGTTTTAAAAAAAGATAATTTTTATTGCAAGTTTAAGCTCGTTTTGACTATGCTATATTTAAAGTTCAAAATGGAAGTTTAAAGTGAATATAAAACGCGTTCTAAAACAACCATTTTTCATTACGCTGACTTCTTGTGCTGTTTTCTTATATATACGTCATATATTACGATCGCTTTCGTGCTTAGTTACAGCATTTAGGCGCAGAGAAAAACATAAAATTTATAGCTAAAATTAATTAATTAGTTCAAAATAAAGGTAATTATTATTAGCACGGAAAAATGACTGGAAGCAGAAACTGTAAACTTGGCTTCTTTATTGGATATGCATTTTCATGCATGTTATTTTTGTGTTATCTCTCGACAACCACAGAAAACAACTACCAAAAACTGGTTAGTTCTATCCAAGTTATTAGTCGCATATAGAGACATACTTTTCAAAGCTCCCACAAAATTGAGGCTATCGACCATTTTACCTTGGAAAATTGCGTCGATCACGGCTTCCATTTCGTTTGATTTTTTTTTTCATCGAAAACAAAAACTCATTTTTAAATTTGGTAGATTTTTTTGCAAAAACTCTCAAGCTCCAAGACCCAACAATAAACATTTTCAAACGCTCATTGTAAAAGTTTTATCACTCTGGCCTTTGTAAACTTTGCGAAATGTTGAATTTAATCAATCGGCTAAAATTAAAAATCACGTTCTAACCGAATTTCAGGGCAAACTATTTTAACAGAAATTTTCCGAAACCTTTGTTTTAAAACAAATTTGTTATTTAATCAAATTAAAAAAGAAGGATGTATTTTGTAACGTTGTGTTTGGATCTATAACAGTTTTTATAGTTAAAAGTTTTTAAGTTTTCTTTTTCATTCAAAAATTTAAACAAAAGTTTGAATATAGATACCTGTTTATGTGTATTTTCATATTTTTCCGACCAATTTCAAAATATGGAGGAACTTAGTATTCGTGTGTTTTAGTATTCGTGTGTTTTTTTTCCTCGCAAAATCAGTTACCACAACTTATCATTGGAATGGCTCGAGAGATATATCATAAAAAACCCTTTTAATCGAGATTCAAAAGACATTTTAAAAAATTGAAGAAGTTTTGCAGTGTTGAGAAAATCAGTTCAAGCTAAAAAGGTGGGCTTGCAGGTTTATAATAGCTTATTTGAGCTTATAATACGCCGTGAAAACTTAGTTTTATTGGAGTAAGTTAGTTTTTGGAGTTTTTTATTGCCATTCTGCGAATCAAAACTTCAAAGTTCAAAAAAATGTTCAGAAAAAAATTGGAAATAATTGAAATATTTGTACAATTTTTTTTTCGTTTTTCTTGCCATTCTACAAAAAATGTTTATAAATTTCTTCATTAACTAGGACTGTCACCGCTTCTGCCTTATTTCTTTGTTGTTCTTGAGGTTTTTTATCACACCACGCAGAAAACACTATCTTAATTTAAAAAAATCGTATTTTTTAAGACAATAGTAGGAACAATCTGTGGTACTTGCATAGTAACCTGTTATACTTGTGTGTAGTTGTAATTTTTCACTCTAAAAATGAAAAACTATTTGCAATTTTCAAGTGTCTGTCTAATTTTAATATTGATTTCTAGTGCCAGATTTATGAAAAAGAAGAGTCATTGAAGAATGGTGAGAGATGTTATATCAAAAAACCAGAACTTGGTTTTTGTTCTAAGATATAAAATGTAAGCTCCTTAGAAACGCTGAATAAATCTATTCAGAAAAAAAAGTTGCATCGAAAAACAAAACTGATTTATTCTAAACTAAAGTTTTGCTAAATTTTATGAAAAAATCAAAGCTAACCTAGCCAATTTCCTTCAGAAGTAGTCCCAAAAAGACAGAACAACGAGTCGACATGAAAACAGCCTTAAAAACGAAATCACAAAGACAAAAGTGTATCAAAAAGTTTAACAATCTATTAGGAAAAACAAGACAAAAATTAAGTATGGGTAGTATCAAATAATTGGTGTCCAAAATAAATGAGCTTTCGACAAAACCAATTTCAAATGAGGCAAAAAAAGTATGACAGAAATTTTATCTGGTCGCAGGATGAGCTTGCAAAGGGGACTTGAAAAAGCTCTACGTTTTTAAGCATTGTTGGAAAAAAACTAATTCAGACTTATTACAATTCTTGAAAGCATTTTTGACTGTAATTTTTAGAAAGCTTACAACCAATGTTTTCAGACACACAGTTTGCCCCGTTTATTAATTTTTCTGGTATTTATTATCATAAACGAATACAGTTTCTAATGCTGTGATCTCAGATTGCCTCCAATTTTTCTCATCGTTTTACTTTTTTTAAATTAGTGTTTAATTACAAAGCTAGAGAAAAAGAAACCCAAAAAAATTTGGGCCGAACTCCTTCGTCAACAGAAAATGGAGTCTTGTTACCAAAAATGATTCGTACCCTAGAATTTAAAACACTTGATACCAAAATTTCCTTAATTTGTTTCTAATAGGATCCTCAATTTAACGAAACGCAATAGACATTCTTCGTCCTGCGCAAAGTTTTTGATACACACTCTCATCTTTTTGTTGGTTTTTAAAATTATTTTTATTTATTTTGAGAGATTTACAGTTTCTTTTGTGAGATTACAGATTCATCTTGGCATTTTCAAAAAATAGAAATTCACTGTTTGCTAACTGGCTGCGTAAAATGTCTTGAATGAGACACAAATTGATGAATAATTCCATAGAGTTGTTTGAACTCTGGCTGTTACAGAGAAAACAATAGCAAAGTTCGAAATGAAAATTTTTCAAATCATTGGCAAAAAAATGTTCTGTAAATTGTTTAAAGTTGTTTCTTCAGGTTTATCAACATGCTCGTATGCATCCTGGTTTGAACCTAGAGATCTACTTAACTTTTTTGATATATCTAGTTTAAAACAGTTTTCATTATTTTTTGTTTGAAAGGTATTAGCTCATTTCCTGGATACCAAACGGTTTTCCAAAAGTTCCCCTTCAGTTACTTTTTAGTGGCACTCTGCTTGAAAAATTCTGAATTTTTTTCGAGGCATATATTCAATCATACACACTATTTTAGAGGGGGAACTCGCGCTAAAAAGTTGCATTTTTTTGTAAAAATAAAAAACGTTTCCGAAAAGGCAATTTTTGACCGGTTCTTATCACAAGTTTTTCAAACGTTTGGCGAAAAATCAATTATGTCGGCATAAATTAAAGTCGACAAAAATACGGAAGGTTTTCAAAAAACGCCCCTCTTCCTGCAAAAGTTTCTGCACAAGTCATCAATTTTAAGCAAAAAATTTTAAGCAAGAAAGAAGATTTTGTAACATGAATGATTCTCAAGTTTGATTAACACAATTTGATAGTTGCCAGAACAATATTAGGAGTAACGCCAAGTAGATCTCACAATAGCAATTGACCGGTCAACAGTAAACAAGTCTCTGGATATCATCAAGCTCAAAACCACCTCAGAGCTGGCAAAACTGGTTCTATATAACTGCAAATTGACTCAATACTTCAGAGAAAACTTTGGCCAGACAAACGCCACGTTGGACGATAAACAATTCACAAATGCAGTTGAGAAAATTGCACCGGAAGCAAGAAAGAAGAGACCTGGCGTCTACTATCGAAAAGAAAATACGTACGTCACTCAAATCATTATTACATAAAGGATTCGTATTTATAACCGATCTGCTGACAAAAAAACTCAGGTGCCATTTAAAAAATGCCAAAAATGCCAGTGTTGTTGATAAGCTAGCTCTTGGTAGAATTAATTAATATCAATTCAATAAGAAAAGATTGATGAACAGAGTAATTTGGCCGCATACGCTGCGCATTATTAAAAAATTGGAATTTCCGCACTAATTAATTATCCCAAATATTTTAAATTCCTTGTCTTCACGGAAATTAAGACGAAGCTGATATAGTTGTCTAACGCTCGAAAAAGGCACCGAGTCCAAAAATTCCTCCATTTTCATCGAACGTCGGAACAAAACGCACTTAACAATCAAAAAGGGGACGAATCGATTTTTGCTCCGACCATTGAAAGTTAGATCATATCAAACCTTTTTCTGCCATGACTCGAAAATCATAAGAAAATTCTGAATGAAACTACTCAGTGTTGGAAAAACCGATTCAAAATTTTTTGTTTTTGTTCCGCCTTTTAGGGCAAGTGAGGAAGATATATGTTTGGGGATTGGGTTTTAACTCAACCCAATTTTCAAAAAAAAATCTTTCGAGCCTTAATTTTTGTGTTCACAAAAGCGTCACTTTAATTTTTACGGTGGCTGAGAAACTAATTGAACTAAAGTGCTTGTTTTATACTTCGATGCTGAAAGCTTAAGGCGCCTTATTTATGCATGGCAAATTATCCCGCACTACAAAATTGTTCCAAATTAAATTGCTGCTACCTCGTTGGTCTTTTTAATTTCATATAGAATATTATCAGCCAATGATTTATAGTTTGTTAATATTTTGATTAGGCAAAAACTATTCGAGACCAGTTAATGGCGGTCGGAACGGAACATTCAGGGCTCTGACTTGATGCGAGCTGTCTTGTTCTTTTTTAAAATCCCCGCACACTTTTTTTAAGTTCAAAGTTACAGATTTCACATGTATTTACACACAATTAGTCCAATTTTCGAAGAAAGTACAAAATATTTCCAATTGGAGCGGTTTTCAAACGATTTTGTATTCAGTTAATTTTCGAAAGCAACTTTTTATTCAAAAACAAGTGTCGTCGGTTATGCCTAAATCAATAACGTTTTACGCGTTTGCATAGTTTTTTCGTCACTCCACGCACAAAAATTGGCATTATTTCGAAATAAGTAAAACAAAAAAAAACTAGTAAATTTTTCAATAAATGTAGTTTTTTTTTATTTGCCCCCGGCCTGATCAGTGCAGGACCAACCGTCGGGGAGGGGGAGATGTCATCCATTTTTGCCGCAGCCGGTCCCACCTTGAGGAGGCGGATCACACTGGGACCCCTCCAGCCGTGACCGAAGCGGGATTCGAACGCATGACCCTCGTGTTAAGAGAGATGTGCCTAGCCCACTTGAGTGACACAATAATGTAGTCCGAACCAGTAGCGGACATAGGGCTGGGGCTAGGGGAGAGACGAATGTGTGTTCCCCTCAAGGATTTGACCACATGAATACCCAAAGGGTCCCCTCTTTGGTTCTATCTTAAGACCTTCATTTTTGACTGGCTGACTCTCAAATTTTTCTAAGCGTGCCTTTGACCTGCTAAAAATGTTTATTGTAGTACGCCATGGTAATTTAGTGCATTTGTTTCAGATATTACTCATATTGCTTGAACTTCAAGTGTGCCAGTAATTTTTTAATCTCTCTACTCTACCAGGAAAAGACAGTTCCCCCGAAAAACCATATTGTCAGTGCCTTCATGGTCATCAGGGAACCCATGCACATACTTCTCTCCGGTAAGAATCATGAACCTAAAATAAAGATTTCAGCCTCCTTTCTCGGCTAAGTTAAGATGTTTTGAATGTTTAGCGCGTCGTTTTTCTTATTTCGCCCAATATTAGATTTCTTAAAGTATGAAAGAAGACAACAAAATGCTCCAATCTGATTGATTGAAAATAAATACAACAGTAGCGCGTAGTTCCAGCAAGTCGTACAGCTGGAAAATGATGCACTGTTATTCTTTTTTGAGCGGAATAAGTAAAAAGACCCGTTTAGTTAAGTAATGGCTACCGACTGCCAACCGCTCAAGTTCTGAAATTGGTATTTGAATTGGTCATTTTATATGATTGCTGTTGTCTTTTCTGTTATACGGCCCAAAAACTGTTATACGGCCCAAAAACTCTTCACACAACTTTTTGCTATCTGTGGTTTGGTGAACAACATTTGTATCACAAACCAATTTTTAAATAGTTATCTTAGATCAGATCAATTACATCCAAGAACTCAATGTTCGCGTTTATTCCGATCAAAATTTGGCTATTTTAATCAATCACACTAACAGTTTCTTCTCTAAATGGGTCTTCGCATTTTTTAGTGGACCAGCACTAGACAAATAGTGATGAGAACGAAATTTGCTTAGATTGCATTTTATTATACAAAATTTGGATGTTTTATAGCATAGAACGTCTTACAAATATCGTAGCATAGAAAATTCGGATGTATAATAGCGTAGAAAGGTCTTATAAAGAAAGGTCGTAGCATAGAAAGGTTTAAAATAAAAATTAAATAATCTCAAATCAAATTTTGGTTCTTTATGCAGAAATAATGAAATTTTCCATAATCAAACAATATTTTCATTCATACTAATTTTCAAAAAATTTTCTCTTATTTTGGGCTGCATAATTTGCGCATCATGAATTTTTAGTCGAGGCTTAAAAAAATTACGTATTTTAAGGTAAGGTTTTGTCATAAATTGCGCTCTACTAATTCTAATAATATAAATTCAATTCTAATCATTTTTTGTCAAAATGCAGCCCAGTTTGAGAAAAATGTGCTTCAAATGTTGCTTTTTTTGTCGGGATAATTTAAATCAGCGCTGTGGATATAAAATAGGCATAAATCTTTTCAGTTTAGCCAACAATAGAGCTCCTTCTTCAACTTGGATTGCAACAGATCAGTTTCTTCAAATTGCTTAAGACTGATAAGTCAGAAGAATTGATTATCTGAGGGATTCGACTCTGTGACCGACCAATGGGTTCATCTTTGGTCTAATTTCACGCCATCCACTTTTGGCAGACAAAGCCTAAAATGTATCATAAGGGCGAATCTGGTTCTAATTCATACTAAATTAGAGTGGGAACTGCGCGCCGAAACAACTCTTTTTTTTTTATTCAAAGCTTTTCAAGAAGTTCCTTAAAAACAGCATTTGTTTTGCCTTTTTTTCGAAACATTCTTTTAAGATTACCAGATATGCCTTCTTTTTTTAAAATTCATATAACATTACCAGATTTGCCTTCTTTTTTAAAATTCATTTAAGATTACCAGATTTGCCTTTTTTTAAATTTATATCAGAATACCGGTTGCATCCCTTCGCGAAAAAATTACTAGTTATGCCTCTCTGCGAATATATAATTCATAATTCAGACATAACTCTTGATTTTCAGCCTACTTGAATAAACTGTACATATTCAGAGATCAAACGCAATTCGATCTTTTCACGCCCTTGGCAGAAAACATTGCAATTTACGTGAAACGCAGTCACAAGACCTCGTCCAATCTCTACACCCAACCACTCACTTCGGCACGACCTGGAAATATTAGTTTTCCAGACTTCGTCGATTATGTAATCCACATGTATCTTGTGAACAACGGCAAAATTGCTAGTTCTGAAGTTCCGACGGAGGTCAGCTTCAAGGTAAGCATTTCCGACTTGCTTTGACAACAAGGGCGAGGGTTCTGGAATGAGAGTGCGCCCTCTCACCTTACCTCAGAAAATGTACCACTCGCAACCCAACCCGTCGGTGCCCTTATAGTTTCTTTTCGCACCAATTTTGGACAAATGAACTTTAAAATTTGTCCAATGGCGTCTAGGGTATCAAAGTTTACAAAACGTTACTAAAATTTTTACTGCTATTTGACAAAAACATTCAGCTTTATAACCAGAAATTTCAAAAGAAGCCCAAAAAATTCCAAAACCTTTGTTTGTGGCGTTTTTTGTCTACATAGCAGCTTTCCAGTGTTTCAGGAGACCTTGGAAGATCTTTTCTATAGGTCGTGATGATTTTCAGGAAACGTCTTAAATTTTTTCAGGCTCAAGATTACTTTTTCAAAAAATACCCACCCCTCGACAAACCAAACCCGCATTGCCAATTTTCACGTTGAGATTCATTTAAATCAAGTTTTATATAAACTAAAAATGGTTTTAATCGATGTATAATGACCGTCAAAATCAGTAACTTTGATTTGCAAAAACAGTGGATTGCATTAGTTATTAATAAAAAATTATCCTCATATAAACAAAATTGAATGTAATCATTAAATCAAGAGTGCATAAAAATAGTTTTCTAGAAACACTAACTCCCTATTTGCTTTATTTAACTTGTTATACCAAGTGTCAGGCAATTAATATCTCAATTACAGCAGTATTACTAATTTAGATTAGTCAATATTGTTAACCAAGAGCACGAATCGATTTTTTAAGCAAAAAATGAAAAAAAAATTACAGTTCGCAGCTCTTATTTTGATTCAAAACCTCATTCACGTTTTTTGGCGACGAGATGGCGTGCTTCGAATAACTTAAATAGCTGAGATTGTTAAATTTGTTCGGTAGATTTATTTCAGTTCTTGTAATCGAAAAAATCTCAATTATTGCCTGTGCAATATCAAAGACCAAGAATGTTCATTAACTAGCTGGCTCGAATATTCGGTGGCAGGACAATCTACCCTATTCCAAACTACCCTATACCATTCTACCCTATGCCATTATACCCTACATACCAATCTACCCTATACCAATCTACCCTATACTAATCTACCCTATACTAATCTGCCCTATATACCATAATGAGGTATCATAATGTAATCTTTCAAAGTCCTAATTAGAATCGGAAAGATACAGCACGTGTTAATTCATTTGAGTCTAAATTTTTGGACTCAATTTTGAGTCTTTCACTTAAGGGCATTGTTCTAAAGACTAAATCGCAATTAGAGCCTCAAAATCTGAAATTTATTTCAATTAACAAGTTTTAATCCCAAATTTTCAAAATCACGTACAAGAATGAAACCAAAACTACGTCATTATATCAATTTTCTTTGGAATAACATCTACTAAAATGAGTCAAATTTCTTGGGGTTTATCCCAACAGAATCGGCGAACGCTTGTAATCGGTGGCCACGAGTTTACGAAAAAACAGGCTGGCTTTTACCCCCCCTGCATTTATGCACTATTGCCCAACAAAGCAGAACACACTTACAAAAAGCTACTGAAGGGGTTATCAACCATCACCGAAAACACCGAGCCTCACCGCATTCTCCTCGATTTTGAACGTGCAGCACTGAACGCTTTCGCTAGTCACCATACCGGAGCGTTGCTGAAAGGCTGCTATTTCCATTTATGTCAAGCGTTCAACCGGAAAATAAACGAAGTGGGCCTGAAGCGACTGTACGAAACTAATCATGATCTCAATTTGTCATTGCGCTTAATTCCAGCCCTTAGTTTCGTACCAGCTGAAATGGTTAATGCTGCTTTTGACTTGGTCATTGAGGAAATCGAAAACGTGTCGGACAAATTTGATCTTGACGACAATATCACTCAAAAACTTGATGAGGTAGCCTCATACTTTCAGCGCACCTACATTAAAGGCGAAACTATCGGAAGGAATTCTCGCGAACCTCTCTTCCCTATTTGTATTCTCTCGCGCAATTAAGTCATTCCTAACTCAGTTTATTTTAACAAACTTTGTGAAATTTTCAAAAATTCAATTTAATTTCTAAAAAAAATACACTTTTTGAGGTTCCCGTGGCCGTAGAGGGCTGAAATTTTGGGAGGTAATAGAGGCCAATACCAAAAGAATTTTACCTTCTCCCTCACCCCGCCCCCCAGTACCGCCTTGGCCTGGTACTGGGGGGTCTACCCCTCCTTTTGTGATCAACTAGTCAAACCCTCAGTAATTTTCGAATTTCATTCAAAATTTGACTTCTTGGTGATTTGATCTTTCGAGCTTTTGATTTTCAAACACAGGCATTATCCGCTACGCTATGTCGACTTGATGTGATATGACTTTTGTTTGCTTAAGAAATAGCCGCAACGCTTTTCTGTAGCAACATTGGATTAAAATTTCTGTTCGTTCATGCTTTGAACTCATTTCCATTTTGAACGCGCAAGTTTTACGTTGCTTTGATATTTTGTTCACGTGCGTCAATTATTCTTTGATCATAATTAATGGTTCTTTGATTTGTTCGGAAATATACTGTTTCGGATTCTTCAAGAGGATTGGGTAAGTTTCAATTGCTTTAATTATAGGGTAGAATGGTATAGGGTAGATTGGTATAGGGTAGATTGGTATGTAGGATAGAATAGTATAGGGTAGATTAGCATAGGGTAGATTGGAATAGGGTAGAATGTCATGGAACCGAATATTCTTATTGGTACCTAAACAAAGTACCTAATTCAAAAGAAAAACAAGACTGCTGAATTTCCGACTGGCTTTTAAGATCTATGGAGCAATGTTTACTTTAAAAAAAATTATGAATATTTACAATCAAAAATGAAAAAATATATATATATATTTTTTTTTTTGAGATTTTTAAAATCATCTCCCTACGCGCCATATAAAGTAAACAAGACTGCTCGTATCAAGGCGAAGCCCTGAAAGTTCCGACTGCCTTTTAAGGTTTATGGAGCAGAATAACCTTTAAAAAAACTAAAGTCGGAGAAATAAAGAGGTTGATAGTGTATAGCATATCTTTGCTAGATATTTACATTGTAGCAGAATTAGTTGTTACAGAGTTTGCACAGTTTGCATCAGTATGGTTTTTGTTCCAATTTCGTTGGAAAAAAGTGACGAAATAATTGGGCTGGGGTGGTTTTTTCAATCCAGGCCAATTTCAACTTTATTTATACAACTTTAAAAATATTGACGTCCTGTCTTCAAAATTAAATAAATATATACTTTATCCGTGATCTTTTTCAATAAGTTAATAGGGTTTGAAAATATCAATTTTGTCTAATTTGGAACATTTAACGCGCGAAAACGATTTGATACTAATAACGCAAAAGCGTCAACTTAATCCCCTCATAAATCGTTTCAAATTGAGAAGAAACAAGACTGCTGGTATCAGGGCAAAGCCCCGAATGTTCAGACTGCCTTTTAGGATTTATGGAGCAGCAGTAATAACATAAAAAAATTAAATGAAAGAAAATAAAATGAACATTTTTTTTCTAAAATTTGAAATTTTTTGTGAAAATCATCCCCCCCACCAGCCATATAAAGTACAAAAAGATAGATTTTGCTCCTTGTGATAAATCAATTATGGCAAATAAGAATCCTTCAATCCACTTGGAACGATTTCTAAGACGAATTAAATCTCCGCTTACACGTTAATAGCGCGAATTATATCGGTTAATAGCGCAAATTGGTCAAAATGGCCAAAATGGCAATCTTTAAACCCTCATAACTTTACGACAAATAATCACAGGTGAAATATTTTTTCAAATTTAAGCTCAAGACAACAATACCTTTTGAATGACAAAAAAAATTCCCTCCAAAATTTCTAGTTAAAAAGTCGAAATTTGTCCGAAGTAAAAAAAAAACCCACCCCGAGCTTAAATATTCCGTTACTTTCGTATCGAAAGTCGGAACGAAAATGTTTGATGTTACTATTACGCTACTATACGCCGAGAATCAAAATTTATTCAATTGATTTAAAGAAACGCTTTCAAAGAGGTTGAAGGGCAGTCGGAATATTCAGGGCTTTGACCTGATACAAGCAGACTGGTTTGTTTTCCCTTTCCTAGCTCCTTCACCGTCTTCACTCTTGTCATTACGTAATGAACAAAATCTAGCTGCAAAATCCAAGTCGAATTTTTAGTTAAAACTGTACGAGCAGGGTCAATACTCAACAAAACCTTGTTATATAATTTTGTGAGTGAATTTTGAAAATTTGTGATCAATTTTTTTGATAGTTTCAGAAACAACAGAACCAAAGACGTGAAAAATTTTGAAGAATGCAATTAATAATTGTAATTTCTCTTTGTAGTTTTTTTAATTTTTAGGACGTGTCCACTTACACAGTTTGGCTACATTGGGGATCACAAGTAGCTGATAGATGCCTAGTCTGCGCGCAAGTCTTTCAAGACATCATCATGTTTGAGAACTTTGAACAACACCTAAAACAAGTGCACCGAAAGTATGCTCCAATGCTCTTCAAAAACAAAACACATCTTCCCGAGATTATTGAGAGCCAAACGACTTTGGAGTTGAAACGTTTTTACGACCAACTGACCGACTCGCAGTTGTCATTTCTAGGCAATGTCATGTATAAATTGGACTACACTATACTGCCTTATAATTGGAACGAGTTCTTGCAATCGATCGGACGTGAACATGTTATGAACTATATCTTTTAAACCATGCGCTGTGATTGAAAGAGGCTGATCAAGAGAACTGATCAACATTTTTTTTTCATATCAGTTTATGTATAATTTTCTGTTTTTTTTTTAAAATTTGTTACAAAATTTTATGAATATCAAAAAAGCGATCTAGCGAGAAAAAGCTAGATAATATCTGTTTTTGGCACCAAAATTTTGCGGCAAAAGGCAATTTGGCAGCGCTATGTGTACTAACTCTAGGTAGTTGGGCCATAAAAAATCAGTCAAAGCTGTTTTTCTCCAACAAACAAATGGGCTGCAGAAAAAATACAAGTTGCCGGCTGCTAGAGTGATAAGTAATAGTCGGGTTAAAAGAAATTGCCGGGTGAAAGGTTGGTTGCAAGGAAATACGCAAATGAAAAGGTTCTTGCTGCTCCAAAAAAAAAAACAAATTTGACTGGCGAAAAAAGTGAAAACTTTTTCTTTTTCGATTATAACTTGTCAAAAATCTTAGAGCCACCACGTGTACCCTTTGCGCAGTTTTTTATTGCAGATTTTTGATTGAAACAACTTTTTTGCTGTACATGATTAATTGAATTCATCAATTCGCACCTACCTCATGACTTTATCAAGAAATCTTTCTGTATATAATGAACTTCTGATTTGTAATTCAAAAATTTTTTCTACAATCTGTTTTAATTACAACAAGACTGTTGGCATCAAGTTGAAGCCCCAAATAATGTGACTGCCTTATAAAGTGTAGGGAGCAGCACTGTTCGCTTAAAAAAATATGAAAATTTCAAAAAAAAATAGTATAAAAGGACAAATTGCACTTAGAAAATATAGCCTGCTTCGGCCAGTTTGGAACAATTTGTTTATAAGACGTATGAAACCCCACTTACGCATTATTCAGGCGAAATTATGGCGCGTCAATTATCCTTTCAAAAGAATTGTTTATAAGACGGATGAAACCCCGCTTACGCATTAGTAATGCGAATTTATTGCGCGTCAATTATCCTTTCAAAAAAAATAGTAGGAAAACTTGCACGGCTAGTAACGTACCATTTAGAAAATATAGCCTGCTCTGGCCAATTTGGAACAATTTGTTTATAAGACGGATGAAACCCCGCTTACGCATTAGTAATGCGAATTTATGTCGCGTCAATTATCCTAAATAGGCCATATTGGCTAAAACTTAAACCCCCGTAAATTTATAACAAGACTGCTTGTATCAAGGCGAAGCCCTGAATGTTCCGACCGCCTTTTAATAATTATGGAGCAGTAATAACATTTAAGAAGTTGATGAAAATGAAACAAAATGAAATTTTTTTCTTCTAAAAATTGAATTTTTTTAAATGAAAATCATCCCCCCACACGCCATATTAAGTACAAAAGGACAAGTTTCGCTCCTTGTAACAAATCAATTATGGCAAATAAGCTTCTTTCAACCAAATTGGAACGATTTCTAAGACGGATTAACTCTCCGCTTACGCGTTAAAAGCGCGAAATATATCGCGCTTTAATTGTCCCAAATTGGCCAAAATGGCAATCTTTAAACCCCCGTAACTTTACGAAAAATGATCACACGTAAAATATCTTTTCAAATTTAAACTCAAGACAACAATACTTTTCAATTGATTTAAAAAAATTCAGTCAAAATTGGCTTGTTAAAAAGTCGAAATTTGTCCGAAGTAAAAAAAAAACCCACCCCGAGCTTAAATATTCCGTTACTTTCGTATCGAAAGTCGGAACGAAAATGTTTGATGTTACTATTACGCTACTATACGCCGAGAGTCAAAATTTATTCAATTGATTTAAAGAAACGCTTTCAAAGAGGTTGAAGGGCAGTCGGAATATTCAGGGCTTTGACCTGATACAAGCAGACTGGTTTGTTTTCCCTTTCCTAGCTCCTTCACCGTCTTCACTCTTGTCATTACGTAATGAACAAAATCTAGCTGCAAAATCCAAGTCGAATTTTTAGTTAAAACTGTACGAGCAGGGTCAATACTCAACAAAACCTTGTTATATAATTTTGTGAGTGAATTTTGAAAATTTGTGATCAATTTTTTTGATAGTTTCAGAAACAACAGAACCAAAGACGTGAAAAATTTTGAAGAATGCAATTAATAATTGTAATTTCTCTTTGTAGTTTTTTTAATTTTTAGGACGTGTCCACTTACACAGTTTGGCTACATTGGGGATCACAAGTAGCTGATAGATGCCTAGTCTGCGCGCAAGTCTTTCAAGACATCATCATGTTTGAGAACTTTGAACAACACCTAAAACAAGTGCACCGAAAGTATGCTCCAATGCTCTTCAAAAACAAAACACATCTTCCCGAGATTATTGAGAGCCAAACGACTTTGGAGTTGAAACGTTTTTACGACCAACTGACCGACTCGCAGTTGTCATTTCTAGGCAATGTCATGTATAAATTGGACTACACTATACTGCCTTATAATTGGAACGAGTTCTTGCAATCGATCGGACGTGAACATGTTATGAACTATATCTTTTAAACCATGCGCTGTGATTGAAAGAGGCTGATCAAGAGAACTGATCAACATTTTTTTTTCATATCAGTTTATGTATAATTTTCTGTTTTTTTTTTAAAATTTGTTACAAAATTTTATGAATATCAAAAAAGCGATCTAGCGAGAAAAAGCTAGATAATATCTGTTTTTGGCACCAAAATTTTGCGGCAAAAGGCAATTTGGCAGCGCTATGTGTACTAACTCTAGGTAGTTGGGCCATAAAAAATCAGTCAAAGCTGTTTTTCTCCAACAAACAAATGGGCTGCAGAAAAAATACAAGTTGCCGGCTGCTAGAGTGATAAGTAATAGTCGGGTTAAAAGAAATTGCCGGGTGAAAGGTTGGTTGCAAGGAAATACGCAAATGAAAAGGTTCTTGCTGCTCCAAAAAAAAAAACAAATTTGACTGGCGAAAAAAGTGAAAACTTTTTCTTTTTCGATTATAACTTGTCAAAAATCTTAGAGCCACCACGTGTACCCTTTGCGCAGTTTTTTATTGCAGATTTTTGATTGAAACAACTTTTTTGCTGTACATGATTAATTGAATTCATCAATTCGCACCTACCTCATGACTTTATCAAGAAATCTTTCTGTATATAATGAACTTCTGATTTGTAATTCAAAAAATTTTTCTACAATCTGTTTTAATTACAACAAGACTGTTGGCATCAAGTTGAAGCCCCAAATAATGTGACTGCCTTATAAAGTGTAGGGAGCAGCACTGTTCGCTTAAAAAAATATGAAAATTTCAAAAAAAAAATAGTATAAAAGGACAAATTGCACTTAGAAAATATAGCCTGCTTCGGCCAGTTTGGAACAATTTGTTTATAAGACGGATGAAACCCCACTTACGCATTATTCAGGCGAAATTATGGCGCGTCAATTATCCTTTCAAAAAAATTGTTTATAAGACGGATGAAACCCCGCTTACGCATTAGTAATGCGAATTTATTGCGCGTCAATTATCCTTTCAAAAAAAAATAGTAGGAAAACTTGCACGGCTAGTAACGTACCATTTAGAAAATATAGCCTGCTCTGGCCAATTTGGAACAATTTGTTTATAAGACGGATGAAACCCCGCTTACGCATTAGTAATGCGAATTTATGTCGCGTCAATTATCCTAAATAGGCCATATTGGCTAAAACTTAAACCCCCGTAAATTTATAACAAGACTGCTTGTATCAAGGCGAAGCCCTGAATGTTCCGACCGCCTTTTAATAATTATGGAGCAGTAATAACATTTAAGAAGTTGATGAAAATGAAACAAAATGAAATTTTTTTCTTCTAAAAATTGAATTTTTTTAAATGAAAATCATCCCCCCACACGCCATATTAAGTACAAAAGGACAAGTTTCGCTCCTTGTAACAAATCAATTATGGCAAATAAGCTTCTTTCAACCAAATTGAAACGATTTCTAGGACGGATTAACTCTCCGCTTACGCGTTAAAAGCGCGAAATATATCGCGCGTTAATTGTCCCAAATTGGCCAAAATGGCAATCTTTAAACCCCCGTAACTTTACGAAAAATGATCACACGTAAAATATCTTTTCAAATTTAAACTCAAGACAACAATACGTTTCAATTGATTTAAAAAATTTCAGTCAAAATTGGCTAGTTAAAAAGTCGAAATTTGTCTGAAGAAAAAAAAACCCACCCCGAGCACAAATATTCCGTTACTTTGGTATCGAAAGTCGGAACAAAAAGCAATCATAGATGAATTTGCATTCAAGAGAACAATAATTTTTGGAAGATATAAAATCTTAGTTAAGAAGTCGATGATTTTCTGGAGAAAAAAACACCCCGAGCACAAATATTCAAAAATTATCAAAAGTTATCATTATCACAATTATCAAAAAATATCAAAAGTCTTCAAATCGGAATATTGGTAATTTAATATGTGACGAAATACTAATGGATTGCTTATAGCATGGTCTACGTATTTAGAATACAACGTAAAAGCAAGGGCAATATGTGCAATATACATTTTGAGCTGTTCGAAACGATGTTATACAACACTGTTTAATGAAGAATTTCAAGAAGAACAAGACTGCTCGTATCAGGGCAAAGCCCTGAATGTTCCGACTGCATTTTAAGGTATATGGAGCAATAACAACATTTAAAAAATTAAATGAAATAAAACAAAGTTTCTAAAATTTGGAATTTTTTATGAAAATCATCCTTCCACACGCCATATGAAGTACAAAAGGATAGAATTCGCTCCTTGTAACAAATCAATTATGGCAAATACGCTTTTTTCAACTAGTTTGGAACAATTTCTAAGAGGGATTAACTCTCCGGTTACGCGTTACTAGCGCGAAATAAATCGCGCGTTAATTGACCCAAATTGGCCAAAATGGCAATCTTGAAACCCCCGTAACTTTACGAAAAATGATCACAGGTAAAATATCGTTTCAAATTTGAGCTCATGGCAACAATACCTTTCGAATGATATTAAAAAATTCCGTCAAAAATGGCTAGTTAAAAAGTCGAAACTTGTCTGAAGAAAAAAAACTCACCCAGAGCACAAATATTCCGTTACTTTCGTATCGAAAGTCTGAACAATAAGTTTTTTTAAATATTACCAAGCCAACCTGTTTGTTTTATGAAATGTAAACGGATTCTACGACAGGTTGAAAACATATATGTCGCGAAATTCGCAATACGTCTAATTTAATTTTCGCAATTTTGCATTCCGCGAACAAATACTTGAATCATTTCAACGCTCAGAAATGCCCCGAGAAACAGCCAATTTTGCAGAATCGGCAACCAAAACTTGCAAACTGCAGAAAAAGTAGAAGAATCTTCCAAAGAAAAATGGTTACATGATATTGTATAAGAAAGTCGAGATATGGTAATTAGAATTCATCTCAATTACAGAAAAAAAAACTATTTTTCCCAACTGATGAAATGAACCTTGTTTTCCTAAAAACTTACAGGGCAACTTATCTCGACTGCTGAAAAAACCATTCATTTCGAACATTTAAACCTTCATTTTTCTCGAGTTTTGAAGTACCCACTTTTTCTGAAGTAGTGATATAGCGAATTTATCTACATCACCTATTTAGGTCACAATACAGAAGGGGTGGTATATGTGTGTTTTATGATCCCATATCTAT